AATGGCAATTGAGACAGCTTCGTTAAATGTCACTAAACCTATGGCATCTGCTTTCCATGAAACCCGTTCCCAATCACCACCCTTACCAACACTACAGCAAAGATCGCAATCACCTGCTTTGCAAAATCAAACAATAACTAAATTTGATTCCATACGTTCCAATTCACCGCCTTTGCCCACAATGCAAAAGCGAAGCAATTCACCACCATTGCCCACAATGCAAAAGCGTCCACAATCACCACCCCTACCAACTGTGGCTATGAAAACGAAATCAATTGCTAATGAAAGTTCAGAATCCTTACATTTCATACAAAAGCGCCCATCGATTCATAGCTATGGTGGCGATGTACTCTCCGAAAAGGAACAGACCAATATCAAAATTAAAGATGAAAAGGATATTTATTATGAAAAATCAACACCATCTCCCATGGAAGAAGTATTTACAGCTGTCTCGGCTACATCGACGACATTGACGAATACATCTGGATTTTCGGCATTTGATCAAAGCTCTCCCACTACATCTGCCATGAACAAAAGTTTGGGTCAACAAATACCCGATGATGAGTTCCAAGGCAATAGTAATCGTAAGTACAGTTACTTTTTTCTTTGTTGTTTTATTTCAATTTCTCTTAAATGTTTTGTGTATTTAAAAAATTGCATTTTTTTTTTTTTTGAATGAATAACTCAGTTTGGTGTAGGCAGAGAATTCTCCAAAAATCTTTTTAATTGTTCAATGGTCTGTCACATTATGCAGTGTATATTTCATTTGTCATTGATTTTTCACATCTCGATATATTCAATCGATATTAGGGATTTTTATGGAAATACCAATACCAAAAAGTGGAGTTATCATTATATTTGAAGCCATAAAGTCTTGAATTGATTATCTTAAAAATAAGAAGTACATTCTATGTTCTTATGAATATCAATAATAAATATTCACTATAACGCAAGTTTTATCATGATATAAAAGATATGAATTAAAATATTTATTCGGAATTAAAGTTAGTGTAATTTGCTATTTCGAACTTCAAATGAGGAAAATGTATACCTGCAGAATATAAGTACAATACGGGTTTCGAATTTTCACTTTGAATCAATATAGGTATATTCATTGGTTATGCATACTATTACTACAACAATTCATATTTCATATGTACTTTATTTAGAAGTCAAAAATGATCTTAACCAAAATATTTTGTTATACAACATTATTTAAATGTAATTCTCAAATATATCAAATGAAAAAATGATTCAATTAATATTACCTCTTATAAAAAAGCTGATTATTTCCTCCAGCACAAGTTAAGAAGCCATTATTTATCACCGTCACCGTCTGACGTCACACATAAAGAGTTTTTAATGCCCCCTCTCTCTCTACCCAAATCGCACAATCGCATCAATGAATGGCGAGTTTTGTATGGCGAACACAAATGTTTAATGTAGGTTTGTTGTGTTTCCTTCCACTCTTTGCATGACACACATAGAAGAAGACGACAAATTGATTGTAAACATTACAATGCATTTCTGTTGACACTCGACGGGGGGATAGACCAAACCCATTCTACACATTTGCCTTTTGTTCTGGTGGAAAACGATTTATTTCCGATTTACTTCATTGTCTCTCTTTTGTAAATCATGCTTCACTCCAAATAGAGTGTAATGACCCCCGAAGCTAAAGTTTAAATCAAAATAGATGTTGAAGATAAATAAACAAATTTGTTTTTTTTTTTTTCAATACAACCATTCAATATCTTTTGGATTATAAACTCATATCTTGCATTTAGTTTTTAAAGCATTTTATATTTGTTTGCCACTTTCTTCTTCGCCGTTAGAAATGCAGTCCTAACAAAAACAACAACTACAAAAAAATTGGAAGCCTTCATAACACCAATACCGCTTGCTGTTGGTCTCAGTTGTTTGTGCTTGGAGTGCCTCGCTTCTTCTTTTTCGTCTCATTTATGTAAATATATAAACATACGTGAGTGTGTATGTTGGTTTGCATCTAGCTTTATATAATCATGTTATGCCAACAACAAAAAACGACGTGTACATTTAGTTCATTCTATTACGTGACGTTGTAACATTTCTCATAAAAATGCAAATGAAGTGTAAGTGTTGTTGTACAAACATAGTGTTGTTATATGATTATGATGATTCATCAGGACCCTAGGTGTTCCATTGTAAAATTCAAGTTCAAATGTCATTGATCCAATGCTTGAGAATTGTTGTTGATTTTGTTTTGCTATTTCTATTGTTGGACAAAAAGTAAAACGAAAATTCATATATCGGTTATTTAGTTATTTTTTAGTTTTTGAATGGTTGATTTTTTCTTGCGAACAGAGCTTAATAAAAATGTTTGCAATGAAAAGGATAACCACTCCCAATATTATGCGACACGTTTCGCCCTTGGGTCAATGTGTCTTTACAATGTAAATGTAACGAAGTAAATTCACGCCTATCAAGTTTCGACATTTGTCATCACCGCGGAAAATGTCTTTTTCAAAGAAGTATTTTGTTTTAACAATGAATATTTGTTTTTCATATCAAGCCAATCCTGGAAAACCGGTTTTACGTGATATGGTTTTTCTGTCTCTAATTTCTGCCACCAACGAAGGCGAAAATGTTTATTGTTATGTCACACAGACATACATTGTTTGTAACAGCCAGAATGGATACCCTAAACAGGAAGATAGTGCCGTGGACTATTTGCTGGTGGTGGTGTTATATTTATTGCACCATATTGCTATGGCATTCTTTCACTCCTCAAGGTCTGCAATGTAATCTAGAGATAATTTTTTTTTTAAATAGAACTAAAAATGGAGTGCGAGGGTAGCAACATAAAAAAAGAAATGCCCAATATCAAAAAGAATTGGATGTTATATACAAATCTTCATGAAAATAGGTTGAAGATTTTAGAATGTCACTAATATACCTATTTCATTATAATATTAGATAGATGTCGGATATGAATTCAATTTTGTTTATATTTCCATATCGTTAAATATTGTATAGTTCTTACTAATCAATGTCTAAAGATTGTTTTAGATTTCCAGTTTTTTTTAATTCAGACTTTTTATTGATTATATAATTCACTTGTTACAACTAAAGAGAATTAAGTAATGACTTACAAAAATGACAATAGAAAAATCAAAACAAAAAAATATTTATAGGGTTGCCAAAGATTAAAAACTAAGAATTGTAATACTGATTATAATTAGGATTGCATATGCAACATTTCTTCACCACCTTAGGGGGAGAATAACACGCGAGGCTTTCTCTGTCTGGTTGAACGTCTGCCTGGAGTGGGTATTCGGGCCGGTAGGAGTACTATTTTCGACTTCGGATATTTCCTGATCTACTTCGATTAATTGTTCATTCGTCTGTTGACTATCCGAACTATCCTCATTTCTGCCAGATTCTCCTGTTGGTGTAGAATGTAAAACCACATTGTTTGAATTTCTCCTCGGCATCTGTCCTACCATTGGTGTACTCGTTCGGCACATAGTACTGTGCTTCTGTCTTTGTGGCACTCTACTATTATTTCCGGTATGAATCAATATGTCTTTTTAATAACTTTCCTCCGTATTCTATTTGGTAATGCAGGTCTCCTATACGAGAGATGACTACACCCAACAACCACTTGCTCATTCTGGGGTTACCGGACAAGAAATAAATACGATCGTTTTCCCGAAATGTACGAAAATTGCGACTGTAATTCATAAATTGTTTTTGTGTTACTTTTTCTTTGGTATCATCGGGACGAAGTAAATCAAAGCGGGAACGTAGCATTCGGCCGAAAAATAGCATTGAGGGCGGTTGTCCCGTTGTAGCATGGGACGCATTTCTATATTGCTGCAGGAATTTATTCAAGTTGACTTGTATTGTTGCTTTCGTTGTTTCCATCGCCTTTAACGCATTTTTTATTGTTTGTACACATCTTTCAACCTGGCCGTTGGTCGCTGGATGATATGGAGCAGACTGTTTATGGTATACAACGCCACTATTTTTCAGAAATTGCCTAAATTCTTCCGATGAAAAGTTCGTCGCATTGTCCGATACCACGGTCTTGGGAACACCATATGTAGAAAACATTTCATCCAGTATTGAAATTGTTGCAGAAGACGTAGCTGTTGAAGTCATTTTGACTTCCATCCATTTACTAAATGCATCCGTTACAATTAAAAACATAGAATCCAGGAACGGTCCAGCGTAATCGATATGAATCCGTTGCCATGGTCCACTTGGGTATTCCCAATGGTGCTCTCCGAATTTGGTTGGTTTGTTAGCTATCATGGCACACGCATTACATGCCTTCGCAACCTTTTCGATATCTCTGTCAATTAACGGCCAATAAACAAAGGATCGTGCCATTCCTTTAATTTTCTCTATACCCAGGTGTGCTGCATGGAGATCCTTGAGTATCTTTTCTCGAAGTACCGATGGAACCACTACCCTGTGTTCAAACGTGAAACAACCTGATGACAGCTGATAATTTTCTTCAGGCGCTGCGTATCCTGCTCTTCTCAGGCAGTGGTCCGACTCCAGAAGTTGGACAATTTTCCCTAAATGTGGGTCTTTTTTAGTTTCCAGGGCAATATGAGATGCTTTAATTGGCAACTGCTTAATCTGCCGGATAACAAATTCGTCGAATTCATCCCCAGGATCCATCGAAGAATCTATCGCCACCAGATTCATATTTACCTGTAAAATGTTGGTGGTCTGCATTATTCTCGAGCAGTAGTCAGCATTTGCATTGGCCTTCGTTGGTTTGCAGATTATATTGTAATTAAAGTTACTGAGGAAGTCGGCATAGTTAGCCATGCGGCTAATGCACAGTGAAGATAAACTCTTTTCTGGGTGCAAAATTTGTGAGAGCGGCTTATGATCTGTTACCAGCGTAAAATGTCTAGCATACAGGTATTTAAAGAATTTTTTAACAGCCCATACTATCGCCAACGCTTCTTTGTCGATTTGACATCACCGCGCCCAATCCTGTTTAAAATCAATGGAAGTGAAGGGTCATATGGTGTTAGTACGTCTGTTGCTACTCGCATCTTTCGTCCATTTAAATTCTTGTTGAAGTAGCATGTTTCTCAAAGGTCTCGATTTCGTAGCAAGGTCCGGTAAAAATGAGTTGTAGTCTGGTATTTTTGCCAAGAAAAGCTGCAGATCCTCCGGAGTTAACGGTTTAGGGGCGTTTTTGATGGTATCAATATGTTTACATGATTTGTGTATACAATGAGAGTCGATTCTGTGCCCTAAAAACTCAATTGCTGGTGCTGCAAAAACACACTTACTGCGATTTAAATGAAGGCCATGTTGTTTAATTTTATTTAATATTGCCTCAAGACTCGAAATCATTGTATTAAATGAATCGGCATATACTAAGATGTCGTCGAAAAAACTTAACACATTGGGAGTATCTCTCAGTACTGCCTCCATGCGTCTCTGCCAGATGGCTGGTATATTTGCGGCACCATAAACTGCCCTCCTTGGCCTAATTAATCCATGAGTAGGAGTGTTCAACGTCAACACATGTGCAAATTCGTCATCTAATTGTAGGTGTGAATAGGCGTCAGTTACATCTAAGTGGCAAAAATCGTTGACCCTCTCATCTTATGCAATAAATCTTCAATTTTTGGTATGGGATGCTCGTCAATAATAATTTGAGGGTTTACTGTAGGTTTATAATTTCCGGTTATCCGTATTCTTCCTCCTTTCTTTATTACAACATGTGTTGTTGATGCCCACTCTGAGTATTCCACTCGTTCATACGACCCAGATGCAATTTTTGAATCAATTTTATTGATATATTCTTCACGTAACGCTATCGGTATATCTCGTGCTTTTAGAAAAACCGGTTTTGCATCTGGTTTCAAATGAACTTTTGCTGGCGGTCCTATTAACTTCCCTGCAACGTCAGAAAATACACCGTCGAATTTGTCAAGTAATTGCTTGAGAAGAGCTTGCTCACTGTGTGGCAATTCTGGTGTCGCTGTAGTGATACTATTGACCTTGCTTGAAGATTTGAAAAGTTGTACAAAATTTATTTGGTCCACAAACTGCTCGATCCACTCTCTTCCCATTAGTGTGTCAACCTTGCCATCAACCACGTATAAATTCAATCTACAAACCTTGCTTCCAAGCTCAACGGTGACAGGCAGGCGACCTATACAATTTATTTGATGGCCAGAGTAGCTAGTAAATTGTCTTTTTGTTGGCAGAAGTTTAAAACGGTCCTTGATTAAATGCATATTACTGTTGCTGATTATAGAACAAGGCGACCCAGTATCCAATTCCATCCTCACAAACTTGCCTTCTATAGAAGTTGTCACAAATTTTCTTCCACTACTTTTAAAATAATTTACCAGCTCAACTTTATTCAAATTTTCTGTATCGTCGGCAGGAGTTTCATCATCCAATTCCGCTAGCTGGAATGTTTTGCTTCTGCACATCTTGGAAATGTGACCTATTTTGCCACATCGGAAACATTTAGCTTGCCTGAATTTGCACATACTTCGCGGGTGCATTCCGCCACATCCATGACACGCAGTCTGTACTTCAGCGTCCCTCGGTACCATGCGCCCTTTCTGCCTAGAATATTTCGTTGATGCTTGCATTTTGTGGACATCTTCCACCTTCGCCGGCCCAAGAATATTTATAGGGTTGTCAAAGATTAAAAACTAAGAATTGTAATACTGATTATAATTAGGATTGCATATGCAACAGATTGTATCCCATAATTTATTTGGCAACATTTTTGGATATTCCTTTTAAAAAACGTATATGACGTTTTTTAAAAGGACGTTGTTATTATGACAAAATTTGTTTACGGAACTCTTCTCTCATATAAATCTTAAAGGACAATACACAAAAGCTTGTTACCGGTAAAAATTGCAATAACGCATTCTACAATAGCACGCGTAATTTTCAATTGAAAAAACTGCAAACATAAAAGTCAGAGCTCCTTTGAACAGTAACTGGAGGATTGACAGTGCTCTAACTCTGTCAAACTAGACAAACAACCACAATACATACAGTTATTGTGTTGCCTTCTTTACATGGATAAATAACTCTTTTTGTTCGGGTGTATGGTGTGTGCGGGTTTCTCTGATTAAGACATGACACTAAATTATATAGTTTATAGCTGATCCAAATAACGGATTAACACCCAACAAAAATAGGTGGGCGCGCAAGTATTATGGTTTTGTGGGACACACTTAGTACCATGACAGAACTGAATATTTTTCGACCAAGAATGAATGAAAGACATACAATTATGGAGTGAAATGTTTGGGGGCTTATCTATAGAAAATATAAAATTTTTTGGTGTTCCAAATAAGTAATGTGAAACCAAACGGTTTGGTTTCTTAGGATTAACATTACATGGCATATCCAAACTTTTAAATAACTTTAAAATATCCCTTCAAATGTCGCTCTAATGTTTATTTTTAGAAAATTAAATTTCAAATATTATTATTGTGTTACTTTGTACATTACTTTTTGCTCTTGTTTTGTTGTATTTTTTGCAAGCGATAACCTATGCAAAACATTTCTTTTTGTTTTTGCATTTATGATTTGAATTCGGGTATTGGGGTTGAATATAGTTTATTGTTGTTGTAGTTGCTTTAAATGTTACCCTGCCTGTGTATTCACGAATGAATGTCTATGGTAAATATTTTGCTAAAGGAGGCGGCAAACGACATATTCTTCATACTTCACCCACCCGATATTATTGATGGTAGTTGTTGTTGTGTTCTTTTGTTTTGGTTTTTTTTTTGCATTACCAAATATGTAATGGCTAATGCCAGTGGTGACCGCATTGCAGTACTTACAGTGAATGAAAAATGTTATTGGAAATATAAGTGTTTGGTTTGAGAGAATGGCATTCTAGAGAAAACCAAAGTATGTAGATTGTGTTATATGAACTACCTATATTCAGTTTACATAGGACATTGTGTATATTGAAAACATTGGAATGTCTCCATGTCCAAGCTATACATAGATATTTAGAGTATGTGGGTATCTGCCTCCCGGCTGTACACACCAGTTAATACAACGTGTCAACCAACGCTCCCACACCGAGGTGTAGGTACCAAACGATCACACGTATTTGGACGTGGTCACCTCCTTGGATGAGGAGCGGAGCCTATCTAAAACTCCTGCCTTTCTAAGGGTCAGGCACCCCAGTTGCAGTGCAACTCCACACCAAGTCGAAACTTAAACCGAGATTTGGGTTAAACCACAGCCAGCACGATGCTCCCCAGGGGGCCAACACCAACTTGTCAGGCTAGATCCACGGTCCTAAGGGCCCCTGACACCCGTGCTACCGAAAAACCTTCGGCCAGGCTCATAGCCAAAGCTATTACCCCATGTCCAAGCTATACAATTACAAGGTCTTCCTGACTACAGGAGACAGGTGTTTTGTATAAGTAATTTATTTTCTGTCGATATAATAACCTCGTTAAGACCAGCATAATTTATTCTGTATATAGAGGACCTCACACTACCTACTGATGATCTTCTGTAAATCATACGTATTTATGAAACTTTCTATTGGACGTGGTATATATTTCAGTCATCCTAGTGAACTTGATTTGAATTTGACATTCTCTTTTTCGAATAAAGCGTTCCTAAACTTTTCCAATTCACTTTACCTCGAAATCCACAAACATACGTATTTGCATGTAAGGCAATATATTAAATTTCAATGTTAAGGTGGTTGGGTTACAACACACACACAGTTCAATATTTTGCAATCTCTCTGATAATATAAAAGTACTGCCAATTTTAATAGCCAAAAAACAAAACAACATAGGAGAAAAGACCGACCTTTGATACACGAAAAAGGGGAACATATACATGTATGTCTGAGTAGCAACTAATATAACAGTTATCCTATCATCTTTTGAATGAAATGCTCAAAGTTTCCACCTTCTTTGAATTTAAAGTTTGTAAACGATTATAGAAGAAGTAGTATTTGTTTACGATAAGAATTTACAAAAGCATTGTTGCTGTTAGAGTAACTCAACTATGAAATTTTCAAGAATCGTTCAAGCAGAAAGTTCATCGATACCACCTTTGATTACAATTTAAAAATAAGTTTTAATGTTATGTGTGTAAGCATAGGAAGGAAATGATTATCGTTGTATTTGAGATTGGAATTGGATATATGTATATACTTTTTATTAATAAAAATAACACAAAATAAATGTTCGTTCACTAAAGGGAAAGGGTGTATAAATATCCTTCTGTTTTTACTTCTAAATATGTACAATAATATATAGTTATAAATATTTCCATTTCATTACATAGAAAGAGAGAATTGCATGCCAGCAACTGTCAAGATATGACGTATCATGAAAATTTTTCAAACATACAAAATTCTGCCACTGTCTTTCACAATACCTGACATGTCACGACAACTTTATTTTCATAATTGAATTTATCAACATGCAATATATGGAAACAATTAATTTTAAATTATTTCAAAAATATGTTGATAATATCGGCATTTACGCTTAATTTATTTAATGTTGTAACATAATTAGGCTACATTTTATATATTTATATAAGATAGTTTCAGACACTCAAGACAGATTTTAGTTTTTTGTGTTGAAAAGAAAAGTAAACATTTTGTAGATATGATGTATCCTCTAATAGAGACAAATTGGAAGAAAATGTTTAAATTATTAGATTTAGGTTACATTAATGCTTCAATGTCATATGCATCGTTAATCGCTGGTAACTGTGGCACAGGAATTATATATTTGTGTATATGTTCGAAACATACTAAAAAAAGTTGAAAAAAACGATAATGATTTTTTTATTATTTTTAACATGAATTCAACTTTATAATGAAGAATAGGTACATAACGGTGATATTCTTAATTATTCAGAAAAGATTTTTTTTCAAAAATGGAATTAATCAAAGTGTGCACTAAACGCTTCATATGTCCATCTAATTTTTTGCTCGCAATTTATTATCTAAATTATATTAAATGTGGCACAGCTCGTTTATATGGCTCAAGGATGAACCTTTTTAGGATTGGTGCAAATCGGATCTGATTTACATATAGTTGCCGTATATATTTTTCGCAGATTTCATATGTCCAAAGAGGTGTGTTGTCCGATTGTAGCGCTTTCGTTACTGTTTTTAAATTGAAAAAAAAATTAATGTCACATATTTTTTTTATATTCTAAATTATATTTCTTCTTGTAGAGACTAATATTCAAATATTTTCTTTATTAATTATGTTAATACATATTATATTATACTTAAGTCTGTTTTTACACGGTAGATTGGTTCCAGAAGAAGCCGTGTAAAAAAAGACATTGATCTTATTCATAAAGGGAATTCCCCTAAATTAGTGCTATTCACATTTGCTTTGACCAGTACAAATTGTTTGTACGCGCTAAAGGGGAATTCACTTAAATCTTTAAGCAAGTGTTCGCAAACTATCGATACTATCGATGGTTTCAGACTTTTTTCTTTCATAAATACTTTTTGATATGAACATACTTCGCAAAAATTAAATTTGACAAAAAAATTTAAGTACATAAAATTTCAAATCGTGCTAAATGGAATAAAATCGTCTAAAAAATTAAAAATATTCAATTTTCAAACCGTGTTATATCAAAACCGTGTACAAAAAGACCGTGTAAAAACAGACTTAGGTGTATATAATTAAATTTTTTATCAGAATCCGAAATTTGTTTGCATTTTATTAATGTAATTCGACATTTTTACAATTACTTATTTAATTTACTTTATTACCAAGATAACAAATGAATGGTTACTTGATTAGAATTTTTTAGGATTTAATTTTAAACAATTTTCTATAATAATAAATTACTTAAAAACATTGGCTCAAACATTCATTGCTTTTTTATTCTACGACATTATACAACCCTGTATTATTTTTGGGACTTGTTATCTGTCATTCTATATTGTTGGCAATGCAAAATAGTCTCCAAAGCAGGCGAAAGTCTCCAAAAATAAACAAATTTTATATACTGCCGCATTGTTATGGATTTTGTTTTCTCTTATTTTCCTTCCTACTCATTTGAAGAATTCTCAGAGATGTTACAAATAACGAATCGTATCTTAATGTTACATTCCAACCACCACTTGGTCGGTCTATTGGTGGAAGCAATAACAATAACAACAACAACAATCACAATAACATAAAATAACTATACGTACGACCTTAGTCACGGCCTCCATCCATCTCCTCCAACCACACATATATAGATGGACGGATGGATGGATATAAATGTTTGGTTGAAGATGTGTGGACAAGTCAAACAAGTTCTTCGTCGTCTGTTTGATGGAATGGGGTTTCTCTTGTGTGGAGTTTCTGCTGTTTTCATGCGCACAGCAATGTTGCATTAGCCAGACAGTCAACTAGCCAACATTCATGTTGTTTTAATGTGGGGTGCACTCTTTGCCATT